TAGTTAATATAATAGAATCCAGTCTAGTGCTTACATCAAAATATCTTTCCATTATAAGCCTTCTAAGGAGCATAAATAAGCAGCTCCTACCCCAGCCACTACTAGCAAAAGGATCCAATGCAGCTTCTTAGATACAAAGGCTGTTTTACTTAAAAAAGGAAAGTTCAGGTGCAGGTGCTCAAAGTAGAGAAGTATATAGAGCTAAATAGCCTAAAGTAAAGGAACACTTAATAATAATGTCTGAGTCTCCTCTTCAACCACTCAGATAATTCTAGCATAGACATCTTTAGCTAACTATTTACTTAATAATGATCCAGCTCCATCCATGTTAGTAACAGATCTGATAGATGCGCTCAAGGGAGCTAACATTATTATGCTATCTCTATCCACAGAAGTTATAACATGCCCTATATAAAATCTGCTTTGAAATAGGGCTCACCATGTAATACTATGCACATAGTATTTGCTAATTATGGTTTAAGAACTATGTAATGATTATTTAGCTATTAGTTTTTCTAATAACTCTATTACTATATACTTAGGGTAGCTCATCATCTCAGCTAGGATTTCCATCTGTAAATAATGGGTGGGTGACTAGCGCATAGGATCCCACCCTAAGGTAGGCTGCATGCTAAGGAGCAGGGTTAGGCCAGGGACATCTAGCAGGGCAAAACCCATTGGGAATATACTATTATCTAGGATGCTAGCTAGTTGACTTGCCCATTCCTGGAGGATTCTCTCATCTAGTAAAAGCCAGTTGATTACTAATAAGGGACAGTGAGCTAAATCATTACTTAGAGAGAGCTCATACATTATAGGGTTGCATGGGATTTCTAAGTTAAGTAGATTCCTAACCTAGGCATTATAAGCAGGCACATCTCCCAAAAGTTAGGAGTCCTAGGCCTAACCTATATTATTACTAAGTCTAGCTACTAGCTCTAGTAAACTTATTTACATCACCTCAGGCTTTAAGACCTATAGATTAGTTATTAAGCCTATCTCTAGTTTAGTGTTCTCCTTCCTACTAGTGCACTATTATCTTAACACCTATATTCAACACATATAAGATAAACCTTTTAACTTATATTAAGCACAGGGATCTCCTCTTATATAGTAGACCTAACTAGTTATATATTATAGATAGGCTGCACTCCCCTGTATATAATCTATTATAATCTCTAGTCACTGCTTAGTATAAAGCCTAGTGTGATAATTTAGAATATCCCTAACTATAATACAGGGTGAGTTAGCGCCAAAGAGTAGTAATTAGCCCCTAAGTATTATAGGCTAGTATCTATATGTGAGAAAACTCCTTCCCATAGGTATTACAGGTGAATGGCTGCTCTTATATATAAATATAGAGATGCCTAGTAAGGTGCTCTTTTCTCACAAACCCCTACTAGTAGATATTATAGGTTAGAGTTAACTCCCTACATCTAGCACCCCTAATACCTTTTTACCTACCCATATTTGCATCATCTCTTATAATGCCATAGGCCCTTCCGGGGCCATGAAACGCGGGGAAGAAGGATAGAGAATAATTATATTTATAGGGAGTAGAGGCAGTCTAAAGAATTCCTATCTCTAGTCTCTACACTAGTTTTATGTGCCTAAATAGCTCCACGTATATATCTTAAACTATGTTCTTTTTAAAGGTAAAACCCTTATAGAGTTACAGGGTTCCCTATATTTTATATAGTTTAATCTTGCTTGGCCACCCTGAACCACTAAAGAATTAACTATTATTCTTAGTATGATCATTGCTCAAGAAGAGCATCTTAGAGTTAAAATTAATAATTAATAATTAATTTACTCTAAGGATCAAATGCTAAGAAACAGTATCCCAAGCTAGATAGGTATCTGTATAATTTATTATATAGGGAGAGATGGCTGGTGTTAAGTTTAAATATAATCTATAGTTTACTAGTAAAATATAAGTTAGTATAAGTATCCTGTCTAAGACTATATATCTATCAGGCCTGTACTTTGCCTATCCTTTTATAAAAATAGGCATTATATCTATAGGGCAGTTAACCTTAATCCATTAGCCACCTTCCTAGATATTATTCCCCTGAAATGCCTTCCACTTCCTTTCAGCAGGCAGGCAGGGGAGATAGACTATTATCTTTGCCATGCCAGTGCTAAGCACTGGGCAGCACATGAATTAGTACCTAAATATATACTAAGTGCCTAGCTCCTAGCATGTTTCATCCTTAGGAAATTTATAAAAGAGAGTTTACATCACTAGGGCACCTTTATCCACAGCCTCTTGCATCAGCTATTATATATAGGGCTGTAATTCTTTATAGATATATATATACTTCTTATAGATATTATATACTTCTTATAGATATTATATACTTCTAGTCTATAGGACTATACCTTATTATCTATACTACTATAACACATTACACCTCCTGTCATGCCCTATTAAGGCTGCTGGGGCAACTAGTCACTATACAGGTATATAACAGGGCAGAAGGCTCCCCACTAGAACTAGTATATAAATAGTTTGCAGAATTCTAGGTTATTGGGATCTCCACTATAAAAACTACTAATATCTGTCATCTACTAGGGGAAACCTGTAATACCTATATTAAGTCCAGCAGCTAGCTAATTCTGAAAGCTACTCTATAAGGAGGTAATATTACTACTCTAGACTAGTGCCCTATACTTCTAGCTGCCAGCCTAGGTATATTATACTAGGTTTACCACATTCTCTTATCCTTCCCTAGTTAGTCCATCATAGAAAGCCCGCACATAGTCTCATAGATAGATATTTCCAATTACCAGGTTTGACCCAAGGTGGTACTAATAGTTATTAAAATCATATACCATATATTCAGGTTCAGCCTCATCAAGCTAGAACACTTTAATCCCATATTTAGTGTAGTAGTTGTCCTAAGCCTTTTTCTAAATATACTATCTTACTTTAGGGTTCATAGCATTAAAGTGGATGGTCTTACCCTCAAAATCCAGGCTAGTTTAATCACCTTACTCTATATGAATAAGAAGACCATGTTCATGCATCTCCTTAAAATTCTCTAACTTCTTATCCACTGTAGGCTAAATAGAAACCATGAGCTTAATATTCATCTTACATAGTTCCTGAACCATAGTAGCTAGTGAAAGTCCTGATTAGCTAGCATCTCTCATCACTATCACTCAGATATATACCTGGATCTAGCTAGTAGATACAGTTAAACTTCCACTCCCCTTGCTTAGGCCAGTGGAAAAAGTTAATTATAATAAGATTAATTAGTAAGTTCTGGCTCTTATATTCTCTCACTACGCCCAGAAGCTCTTCCTGGGTCTGATAGTATAGCTTACACTGCTAGAAATTAAGGCCATATTCAGGTATGAAAGGGACTTTGCCAGTGATATTGGCATAATGCTCCTTAATTTCCATGGGTGAATCTCCCACTATAACCTAGTAGTCTATTACCTTTATTAAGTATGCCTTAAAGCTTATTATATTCCTCCCAAACACCACACGCCTAATTGCAGGGTTATTCCATAAAAAGCCATATCTAAGAGATAAAAGAGTAAAGGGATAACTAGCTTAAGAGTTATAATATGCTAGCTTAAGGTCTATACCCTTTAAATCTAGGAATGGCATCTGGTATTGGCCCATACCAAATATCTTCTTATTCAGGTCAACACTCTCGAACCATGCAGTTAAGTGATAATCACTACCAAGGATAGGCTTAAACTCTCAGGCTTTAATTTTAATGGCACTATATTTAGAATTAAGAATATCCTAACAGGTACGCGTGTACTCCTTAAGTAGGACACAGCCTTATAAATTCAGGATTATCAGCTTACTAAATTTGGTAATAACAGCCTGGATCTTGCCATTAGTAATCTTTGCAGTGGTTAAGGAGATAGAGATTTTAGCATGTATTATAGGAGGACACTGGCCCTTAAGCACCAAGTCTTTAGTTAGTATAGTCGCGCATTTTATAGCTCTGATCCACAAGGCATTCAGGCCCCAGGGCTCAATGTAGAGCTGCTCAGCGTCATACTCATAGATAAGGTAGTTTGTTTCCTCACGGAACATCTTGGGCACGGCGCTCGAATCACTGGCTTGTGTGAGTCTTAATTAACAATCCAGATTTATATACATAGTATTACTAGTTCTTATCCTGGTTCACATCCTCCGCCGGAATGCCAAGTCCCGGCGGGGAATATCTGCTAATTGGCATGGATCTTTCCCCCCTGAGAAACCAAAGTTTCGGGTTTGGGAAGGCAGGGTCGACAAACCTCATACCCCTATTTTCCTTTCTGGTTTTGGGTTCTCTCCATTTTGAAGGCTCTACTATAACTGCACATCAGCTACCCCACCTCTGCATCAAGAAGCTCTTTCTCCATTAGCTCTGGTAGCTCCACTCCATTTATTATATAAGAGGCCAGTGCATAAATATAATATCCCTTTGAAATGGTACATTGGACATCAAGGTTTAAGAGCCTCTAGAGTCCCACCATATTATTTTCCTTGCTTCCTTATATTACTTTATTACTTACCAACTCTGGCGCTACAGTCACGCAAACTGCAACCATTAATACTACCATCAGCTATGGCACTCCAGCCAATTTAGCTTCTGGCTGGATCTACAGCATCCCAGACCAGCAAGGCCAAATTACTGACCATTTCTATACCAATGTTGGGTATAGATATGGCCGAGCAGGTGGAGCGCAACTTGTCAATCCTAGAGAGCAAGGCTAGATCTGGGGTGTGAATAAATATAAGGTGTGAATTACTAACCTGGTTGAAATTCCAGATGCTTAACTAATATCTATAAAAGAGCTGCTTCCAATCTGCACTCTCTAATTACAAGACTTCAAAAAAATATAGTGCCCACTTTCAGCTTCTCCTCCATGACCTCTGGGGGGCAGATAGAATGCAGAACTCAAGCACTCTGTATCCTAGTGACAACAGGAACTGGGCGTTTTATGACGCATTCTTGACCCAAGTCATAGCTGATATCAAATCCAATTCAATGGAAGCGGGTTTGGACATAGATCTGTGGAATGAGTCTGAGGGAATATACTGGAAGAACCGAGGAGTGGCCCAGTGGGTGAACATGTGGGGTCGGGGGTTTCATCGACTTCGGTAAGTGACCCTGTTTGCGAGAGATGTAATCCTGTGCTGACTACTGGCATTCCTGCGTCCAAAGGGATGCGTTGGGTCCAGCTGTTCTCCTTGTTGGTCCGGCTCTTGCGTCACCACCAGCGATTGGCAACTCGTGGTGGGATGGTTTCCTGGGATTTATTGGTGCAAACAATTCAATTCCCGACCAATACACCTGGCATCTCGAATGCGGCGGCTCGTGTGACTTGCAGACAAGCAACTCAACCCTAAAATCATTGCTCAGCTCGTACGGTCTTCCTAATTGACCTAACAACGTCAACGAATACGGGACTGGTTCAGAACAAAACCTGAGTGGCGACACCTGGTACATTAGCCGCTTGGAGCGCTATGATACTCTCAGCTTGCGTGGTAATTGGCTTTCAACTGCCGCACTTCATGACTTTCTTGCCAGACTTGTGGGCAAGCCGAATGCTGGAACATCATCTTATAACCCGACAGCAGGTGGCTACTGGCCGACCGGAGAGTTCCAGGTTTACAAGTACTACCATTTGAATCAAACCGGCATTCGCCTGGGTACCACCGGCTCGGCAGACGGTGGATTTGACGTCTACGCTACGAAGACGGGATCGGTTGTGAAGATCCTATGCGGCAGCAGGGCGGAGACGGGAACATGGGATATTACTGTTACCAACCTGGCGTCTCTGGGGCTTCCATCCTCCGGCAGCATCACGATCACGACATATGAGTTCCCCTGGACCAGCCAATTCGGAGAAGTTGATTCCCCTGTGAATCTTGGTCAAGTGACCCATACTTATACCGGCGATTCGGTGACATGGTGGGTGAAGTTCTCTTCACCCAACACGGCATATGCCTTTGAATTCGCCTACTGAAGTACTGGATCCGTACTTGAGCGGTTAGGCAGGGTAGCCCGCACCGGCTAGTGGTCGGTCTACCGGTAGGCATGATGATTGGTAGTAGAGGTCGCACTCAGGTTTGTCAAGGTTGACAGAAAGTTTTGTACCTAGTTGTATTAAGGTTATTGATGTGTTATTCGTCATTCAACTTGTCCATCAACTTACTCTCATCAGGCTATCTACCCATTTCATGTACCTATTTGTCCAATTATGTGTTAAAATGGCTGTACAACCTTCGGGTTATTGAACTTGTCTCTACTGGACCATGGCCCGCACAATTAATCAACTATGTAGGTGCCTGTGCCACCAACAGTCCTATCTGAGATATATATAGGTACAATTGAAAGGTAGGTACCCGAGCACCAATCAAGGATGATGTCATATGCTGGATTTGCTGTCCTAAACCTCTTATTCTTCCTAAGCTTTTAGTAGATTATATCTGGCCTTGTTAGATTGAATTAAGTCTGGCTTTAGCCCTTCATAGCTGATATTATAAAAGGTCTGATACTATAAACTAAGGAATAGGTATGTGGGTTGTTAAAGCTAGAGGCTATACAAAAATCATGATTACATATTCATCCTATTCCTACTAGAGGGCTCTCACGCCTCTGCCCTCTGGTCAGGACTCTTACTATGGGTGCTGTGACCCCCATTCCAGCCATGGCATCAGGCCAGGACTGCACCCCCAGCTGTCTAGGAGGGATAATCTAGGTATTATTCTATTCACCTTATTATACTATATCTAACTAAGCTAGTTACTAAGTCCTAATCTACTAGTATAGCTATAGAACCTATATATACCTATTAGAATTAGCTCTACTAACTTGTTTTGCAGCAACGTCCTTGTCACCTTGTGTGTAATACATCCTTCTTAAGTTTGACTTTCTTGAATATAGGGAGATTTTTAATGTAAATAAAGTTCTTATATGGATACTTTGGAGATTAGAGCATACGTCCAGTCCTAACTTTGTAGGCATCGGACACTGCAAATAATTCCGACCATTCTTTGACTTTTACTGATGTTGGAAATTTTTCTTATCTATCCTAGACTAATGATGTGCGTTGGATCTACTTATGTAAGCCTTATTATTCTGTCATTGATAGTTCCAAACTTCCAATATGTCCTTCCCTCTTGAGATATATATTTGGCAAGTTCAGCGTATGGTATTCAACACACTTAGACCCTATTTCATGACTAAGAGGTAACATATGAGAATGATAAGAAATAGTTTGCTAGTATATATCAATCTACAGTCTTTTGGAAAAATGTTGGGGGGAAATTGATTGTAATGATCATGTAAAAAAAAAATGGTCTATCCCACTCGGAAAATGTGGTTATACCTAGACTGTAAGAAGTGGCGCGGCAACATATAAATCACTGAATCACTTGTTGAGCCGATCAGGGATCTTGCAGTTTGATATTTTGTCTCCCCACTTGAAAGCATCTTTGAACTTGGTAATGAAGCTCTGCTGGCCTGCCTCTCCTAGAGCTGGGCTCTTCCAGTTGTCATGGACGTCTGTCCATTGAGGCAGTCCCTCTTCTGGCTTGGCTGGTTTCCAATCAGAATGCGATTACTGGTTGTCGGGGAAGGGCATTTTAGCTGTCAGGTCGACTAGTTGTGCATCGAGAATATCAAATACAGGAAACTTGTCTGGGGCCATAATGGGAGGAGGAGAAGTGAAGAGGACACCTATCATCTGGGGAATGCCGCCAGAGTCGGTGTTGAGCAGGTCTTTGATATGGTTCTTGCTGCTGGTAGGATTAGTAGCAGAAGAGTCTGTTGATGCATGTTAGATTGGATAATTGATGAGGGTGATGTACTGACACTGCTGCCATAGTCTAGTTGGAATTTGTTTGATGTACTTTTTTAATATGCCATCCTCCCTCCTTTTCACCGTCTAGCAAACTAGGATCCTGGTCAATTGTCACCGTGAGGTTTGAAGTTAGTGGCTGGGTCAGCTTGGTCGGTTTGCTGTAGACATCATGCTTGGAGGTGAGTGTTTTTCCATTGGTAAGAGTGGTGGTTTTGACAGCTACTTTACATGACACTAGAAATAAAAAAGTGCCTCCCTGAACAGTCTATTTTTTATTCTGCTTTTTCTCGGGCGTGCTGCTGTCATTGAGTAATCCAGACTGGGCGAGGAAGAGATGTCCTTTATTCTTAGGTGGGTGATAGGAGTCTTCTTAGTAGCAGCACTGGGTTCTTTAAGAGCCTTCTAACTACTTGCTTGAAGTACTAGCTTATAAAACTTAAGTAGTAAAAGAGGCTTGATGTTCTCATTACTATTGCTAAAGGTAATATTAAAGGAAGTGATCTAGAAGGTCATATAGATATAACCAGCAACTAGCAGACCTTATAGAGTAAGGTCTGCCCTGATCTCAACGGAAATAGATGTATGAATGAACAGAATGTCGATATTCATTTTGACGCCGACAGAGATACCAGCACTGGCAATGAAGCGGAAGGGCTTGTAGTTGATCAAGAAATCGGCAAATGCATCGAACCACGCCTCGATAGGCCCTGCAGAGAACGAGGCATGAAGACGACCACCTCCCATGCACACCTTTGGCGTGATTGCAAAATACGCCTGCCCGGAAACACTGATGTTACTGCCCAGAGTCCAGCTGATACCTAGACGAGGCGGATTGGGATAGCCTGCAGGAATAACAAATGCTTGGTGATAGCCACCCAGCGTGAACACGAAATCACCTGGCTTGGACTTGTCGGAATGAGGGGCATCAAACCAGTAATAGAGACCAAAGCCAGCAGTCAGATGACAGTCAGGATGTAGGATATATGAATTGGGCGACAGCTGAGAGTTTGGGGATGATCTTCAGCTCATTCTGCAGACCCTCTAGTGTCGTCAGTTGGAATTGCGCGCGAAAGGTGGTTTTATAAAATGTTGATGGATGGAACCAAAGGCCGTTGCGATTGTGTTCCTTACTATCCTTGTCCAGTGTCACTTTAATATTGAGAACCGGTCCAGGAAGACAGTTGAGCATGGTAACTAGGCCTGAGTATGTGATCACTGCTCGGATAGTTGGCTTGAGAGACAGAGAGTTATCGACATCCAGGCCACAGATCAGGGTTGTTCCATCTTGGCTGATGGCAGGTTGAGGAATATGACTCGCATTGTTGCCAAAGGAGAATTTCAGGGCATTAGCCCCGGAGCTCAGCGGAAAGGCCCAAGGATTGCTCAGGGTGAAATCAAAACCCAAAATCTGCTTATCGTTGAATTTCAAAGTGAATTTATAACTGTCTTTTTTGACATTGTTGAATATCGAAAGCTAGTCTGAGAGACCATCACTGCGGTCAATCTGGATGACTGGATTTGTCTCTGTTGGTTCTGAGATAAGAACAGTAAACCTATTTTTTAGTGAGGACACAAATTTGTCTTCTGGGCTTCCTGCTAGATCCTGCCCTTTTTTTCCGGGGATCTTCTGGGCTTTGCTGGACCACAGATAGTATTTTTCGTCCGCGTTGACATCCACGGACGAGCCTTCAGGACTGATTTTGCCCTGAATACGGTGTTCGGACATGTTGGCTCCGAGTGGATCGCTGCTGGGTAGAGCAACGCTTGATTCTCATAATCTCATACCGGTCCCATCCGGGGTACGGCCTCCTTACTGTAAAAGACCATGGAAATCACATCATAGCAAGGAATCAGGTGGCTTGGGTACTMGTTGCCTGAACATTCGACAATCTATACTGAAATTGACTTTGCATGCATAACATGATATGAGTTGGTCCCTGCATGGCCAATCAGGTGAAGGCAAGCTGCTGATCTGTGATATCCAGGATGCAATAACAGTTCATCGCCCGCCACCACATCGCTAAATCGGCCCTGCCAAAAAGCGGGGTTGAGATCGACCGTTTCCGCATGTATTTCAGTGTTTTACAATCCGTTACAATACGGGCATTGGTCACTAATTATGGGCGATTTATTGGAGTGATCGGCTCACCAGGTCGCCAGACCTCGGTTATATATCTTCAACCACAATGTTCTTAGACCGAAAAGCAGGAAGAGCCATAATGAAGATGAAAGACCCAGACCACCCTTTAACCTCAACTAGTTTCTCATCTACCCAGATATTGAATCAGCCCCTGGAACTCCCGTCCGATCAGATTGACGAGCTGTGCTCGCGCCCCTGTATACTGCTCCATCGCCACAACCAATCCAGCCAAAAGATCCCTGATGACTTTAGACCCAACTCCTTGGACTACTACCGTCGACCGATAGTATTGCATAATCCCAGTATCGCTTTTGTAGGTATACGGATCGCGGATTCGCCCTTTTCGCTGGTTCAGATCTTTGTTGATTATGTACAAATTGACAGATCGATTCAGCCACTGCGAGAGCTCCAAGTATAGCCCGAGCTGGAGAGTTTGCCAGTTTGCTTGATGTGCAATTATCAAGCGTGATGCGTACTGGACCTCGAGGAAGTGATCGGCCTCCCATGGAGCAGCCTGCGGTGGTTTCTCAATGGGGAAGGCAGCATTGCTGTCGTAGTATGCGCGGAGGATTCTGCCTAGGGCAGCTTCATCTCCAACTGCCAGCACGCTGTCTTCGGATGAGGGCCAGATAAGTGAGGTTGGGATATCGGCGATATTTCCTTCAGTAGAGGCAACTTCTTCATTCTCCGTAGTCATGATGTGTCCTGAGAGCTTGGCAGGACGTTAGTGCGGCAAAACGTTTATAAATAATCGGGGCAACGTACGAGCAGAGAATAATGCTGAATGATTGAATATTTGGTTGTAGTCAAATCTGTTTGTTATTAGGATTTAGAAAGGTTGTGCAGCTTCCAGGCTCGCATTTTCAAAGCAGTCAAAATTCGTTCAGTTATAGGCACTGGGATTGAATGAGAGGTAGCTGTGCTCAGATGTACATAGGAGACATAGAAGCGAATGGAGAACAGGCAAGGGTGTCTTCTTGGTTGCATATGCTAAAGCCCGGATGCTTCAACTGCATGAGTGCCCAAGTTTGTCTCCTGGTCGACGATCAGCTAAATTCGCGGCATCAGCTATTACCAGACATAGTTCGACGCCCCAGCTGAGTTTCTAAACCATGATAGATCTTTTAACTATTTATTTATTTATTTTATTCTTTTTTTTTTTTTTTTTTTTTTTTTTCCACAAAGACAGCTTATGTAGTGTGACTCTCGAGTTACTTGGCATATATTCAACTTTATTTACGGTTTATGATGACCATCTGTAACTAAAACAACTCATAAAAATGCCATGCACCAAACAGGATACAAGACATGAGTGGATTCAATCAGGCACTGATGTCATCCCAGACGTGCTTGAATTTACCCGAGTCTCCATGGCCGTATACTTACTGTCTTCGATGTAAAACAGGTGGTTGATGTTGTTTGCCAGCGTGGCCATGAGCTGGGTTTCATCACTAACGGGGTCGCAATTGGGACTAAAATGCCAGCTGGATGTATTTGTTTGGTATTATAATACAACCTGGTACATAATACAGAACAAGGAATTAATGTCAATTTCCAATAAGGGTATTTTTTGAATTCGACTACGCTAGTAATGTTTCGAAATGACTAAGAATTTGTATGTAAGATTGAAATTGAATAAAGGTCTGATTCTTTCTAATAAACAACTAATGAGGCACTATTTATGCCTTAAGAAATGAAGGTATTTAGATTTAAAAGGGTTCTGCATTAATGAGATCAATTTATAATCATAATTCTATAGAATTCTGGTGATTTCATGATTGTCTTAGCTGAATCCCTATACAGAAAGATTAAATAAAGGAATGGCTGAATTTCTTTATTTAGTAAGCTGTAATTTAATTTAATACACCCCCCTAGCTAAGCTGCTAAGTAAAGCTATATTTAATATTAATTCTATAGCTATTAAAGCTATATCTATTTAATTAATAAGATAAGTTAAATTATAAGTATAAGATAAGGTTAAAGCTCCTAATCTCTAGCTTCTGATTAGTTAATAAGCCCTACTATCTTACAGAATTCTAAATACTTATTTTAGGGAAGAATCTTTATAAGGCTGTTAGCTAGTATATTAGCTATTTTAATCTAATTAACTAATATCTAGCCTAATTAGACCTCTTGCTGTAGCTAATGCTAGTATATATTAATATACCAAAGCCTAGTTTAGATAACAGGCTCTTTGCTAGGCTGGCCGTTGGGAAGGGAAGGGAAGGGAATGGGAATTCCCACTGCTAGTTCCCCTCCCATTTTACCCCTAGTCATAGGAATCCCATCCTAATCCCTTAGATAAATGGGATTCCCATTTCCCTAACCCTTAGATAAATGGGATTCCCATTTCCCTAACCCTTAGATAAATGAGATTCCCTAATAATATGGGAAATCCCATATAATTTCCCATCCTATTTTTACTATAGGATCTGGGAGCCCATCCCATTTAGATAGGCTAGGGAAATCCCATGGGAATCCCAAAATGGGATGGGAAATTAATATGGGATTCCCATTTCCCAAAGGGAGGGAATTTCCCATGGGATTTCCCTTCCCAACAGCCAGCCTAGATAGTAGGTCTATTAAACTAGGATAAGGTAAGAGTAAATATAAAAAATAGATAAGTAAGCTAAAGTAGGTATTTAATCTACTATCACTTAGTATAAGAAGGAAGAAGATATATAATATCTTTATTCTCCTACTTTTCTATAAACTTAGCTAGATTAGGGTGAAGCTTGATAGTATATTATAGTATAAGATATATTAAGTTCTAGAGTGGTTAAACCCAACCTAAGAACCCAAACCCAAACCAGCCCGAACCCGCCATGGGCCGGGTTCGGGTTCAGGTTCTAGGGCCCATGGGCCGGTTGGGTTCTAGAATTAGAACCCATCTAGGGTTCAGGTTCTAAAAATGGGTTTTAATTATAATACCTAGTAATTAGAATACAGTAGATTCTATACTAATATGCTATATTTATATATATAATCATATTATATATATATATATATACTAGATGCTAGTATGGTATTAAAAAATTAAATACATACTAACTAGATTAGGCAGGTGGAGAATGATTTTTGGGCTCTTTGGGTTCTATTTAGGTTCACTACCCTAGAACCCGCTGGGTTATGGGCTGGGTTCTAAAGATAGGGGAACCCGGCCCAACTAGAGTTGCATAACCGAACCGCAAAAATCGAATCCAACCCTCACCGAACCCGCAGTGGGTTGGGCTCAGGGCCTAGCCTAGGGAATTGCTTTGGGTTTAAGTTCCCTACCCCGGGCCTGATTCGGGTTCAGTGAAAACTGTTAGTTTTGATTTCTGCGGTTTTTGCGGATTAGGTGAAACCGCCCAATCCATTTTAGATAGAAATCACTAATTTCTAGTATTTCACTAATAATTTTGATATCACTAGATAGCCCGGATCAGGGGCTATCTAGTGATATAAATATTAATTTAAAATACCTAGTGGTTGCTAAGATATAGAGGAATAATCATTTTCATCATGGGGTGGTATGAAAGTGGTGTAGATATATATATATATATAACTAATAGTTAATAACCACTATAGTTTAAAAATAATTTTTTTAACCACCCCCCATTCAGCCCTATAGATATTGAATTAAAATTTTAGATATAGATTAGTATGATGATAATTATGATATATTTCATATAAAAATGATAATTTTTAATTAGCATAGTGATATTATGATAGATAATATGGCATTCGATGAGGCATTGAAATTCAAAAACTATCAAAATTTACTAAGGGGTAGCGGTTTAACTAACTTGAAATTGAACTAAATCTAACCATGGTTAGTTAGTAGGGGCCTAGCTAGGCCTAGCTAGGCCTAGTAGTGGGTTTTTGCGGTGAAACCACCACTAACCTGGATTGGATCCGGGTTAGCTGCAGGTTCTAAAATTTGAACTCAAAATCGCAGCAGTTCGGTGCCAACTGGTTTTAAACTCACCTGAACTCACACCAAATGCAACTCTAGGCCCAACCCGTGAAAATAACCACCCTATTAAGTTCTATTAAGTTTTGCAGTCCTATTAAAGGCTAAGTAATCTAGGATTAGAAGGGAGGTTATAAAAGGTTTAATACTAGATAGGGCTTATATTAATAAATTAAGTAAATTTTTAAATCTAATAATATATATTATTAGTATAGATTCTAACCTAAGTTAGAGTTATATACCTTCTTAAGTATAGCTGCAAATCTATCTAAATAAATATATTAGTTACTTAAATCCTAGACTATTATAATCTTATCATTTATAGCTTTAACCTTTAGGAAAGTAAAGAGTTTCTTTATAGTAAGTTATAGGATATAAGTAAGATAGGGAATATAAATCTAGAAGTTAACTACTTTAGTAATTAATAAGTCCTAGAGTATTTCTATAATCTAAGGAGACTAAAGCTCCTTCTAAAGCTTATAAATAATAGTATCTATTATTATTACATTATTTATAGTATTATCTATTATAACTACTATAATATAATACTAAAGGTAGACTAATTTAAGTACTAATACTACCTTCTATGCAAGGTTATTACCTATATAATGAATATTCATTAGCTCAAACCCTAGGAGAACCTTATAATACTTCTAATCTAAGCTAAGGAAGTACCTAGTTATTGTAAGGAAGGAGTTCTGTGATGAATTAGTCTATATATTAACTTTGATATGTTAATATTGCTGCCTGGTAATACTAAATTTCCTCCCCTCTTCTTTCCTCGTTATTCTGTACTATGAAAAAGCTATTTCGCAAACGCAAATGAAGTAGGCATAAGCAACCTTGCTTGTGACAGCGGGAACATTGCTCAGGAAGAGTTGTAAGTCATCATCCATGGCGTCCTCGCTCTGCGCTAATCTGATCTTCCTTGCGTGGAGTAGACTCATCTAATCTACCACTATTTGTAGTCCACAGTGTACCCAACTGTCAGCCACATCCTTCCGATCTGATACTTGGCCTGGTCATTGTTGACCTGTACAGTCCATGTCTGTGGCAAGGGCTTGCTGATCTTGTCCGCTGTCAGCACTAGACAGCCTGTGAAGGACCCCTGGTCGCTGCTCCACTTCAGTGAGCCGAATTCCTTGATACTGAGGATATTCGCTAGTTGACCCAGCCCCTCAGACGGGCTCATGTACAGCGAGATTTTCTGCACGATGATGGTCGAATTGGGTGTCGCTCGGGTCCAGAAGGGCAGCAGACGCCCTATGCCGGCCAGAGTCATGCCGACAGATGCGCCCGTGCCAGTGCCCAGCTGGTCCCGGAATCGGATCCAGCCACTGGCGTAGTCGGTGGTGAGGTCGATGAGGGTGCAGGGCAAGGGACTAGTGGTCGCAGATTTCAGCTGCTGGATCGTGGCATCACTGGCGGCGCTCTTGAACTTGGGCTTGGTGCTGCGGAGGGACGTGTAGCGGAGCTGGAGGATGACGTCGCCAATGGTCTGGTAATCGAACTGGCGGATGGGATTAGGGAGATCCAGCTGCCAGTTCGAGAGAGCACCGGCGCCTTCGAAGGGCAGGTACCTCTCCCCCTGGAAGGCAGGGTTAAACTGGCGGCTGTCGGACTGACCGGCTGTCACCGCAATGGCACCGATAGGGACCGTGTCCTGGCGGAAGCCCTCCCCGTTGGTGTACTCCTTCACAGTGGTGGCGTCGTCCTTGACGCGGTAGGAGTGCGAGATCAGGGTCAGTGTACAGTTGAGGTTCTCAAAGGGGCCGGCGATGCAGGAGATCTGTACCCCGACAGAGACAATCCGGCGGCAGAAATGGCCGGGGAAGTCGACGTCAAATAGGAGCTGCTCAGTTAGCTTATATACAAACACAGAGAGATGGATATGGTATAGATACCTCTGGAAGGGTGAACTTGACACACGCCTTATCTCGAAGGACTAGCAGAGCAGTAGGATCCAGCTGTCGGAGGGAAATCTTCTTCTCCATCTCCATGTCAAAGGGCTGACAGTTCATATACGCGGTTTCAATGCGGTCAAGATCAAGGCCCAGCGTGGCTCCGGCCAACAGACCATCTCGACTGCTATCCCAGTATCCAGCCCCGGTCTGCCGCAGGTAGGAGGCGCCGTCCATCGGGTTCTCGAAGCTGTAGGCCTTTTGCACCCGCTGCGCCATGTCGGCCGCGAGACGGTAGGTGTCCTGATAGAGGCTGCTGTACTGGTTGTCAAGCCAGCCGTACAGCTCTTCGTTGGTGTACTTAGACTGCAGCCATTGCTGAACCTCGCTGGTGTCATCAATCCTCTGCTGCAGGGCCTTGATCTCGCTGTCGACCCGCTTGCTAATCGCCTTCTGTACGTCAATCTGCCGGTCGACGATCTTGATCTCGCGCCCCGCCTGGTTGGCCATCTGGCGGCGCTCCTGCAGCTGGCGGATCAGCTGCCCTGTTCGCCCGGCCACAATGCCCTCTTCGCGCTTGATGTCACTCCACTGGCGGATCCCGCTCGCGGTCGCCTGCAGGGCCCGAGCGACGATGCCCGTGCCAATCTCTGTAGACATGCCAACGCCCAGCGGCTGGGCGTTGATCTGGAGCTGCGGGACGACCAGGAGGCCCGCTGCCACTGTGTCGAGCGACGCCGCGCCCTGGCCCAGGGCCATGGCCGTATGGGCGTCCTCAATCTCCAGCCGCTCATTAGGGTTCAGGCGGAGGTCGTCGGTAGAGGGCGCGTCGATCATCTGGGGTATATCCTCCCACCCAGTGTTTTCATTGGGGATTTGGTGGCTCTTGCTGTCGCCTGTCAGCGCGAGGTAGAACCGCAGCCGGGTTTCGTGCATGAGACGGGTCTCCTGCAGGGCCTTGATTGCCTTGTTTGCCTCGTCCTTCTCCAGCTGTTTTGTTTCCAGGACGAGGCGCTGCACGGCCTGGCGCTGGCTGGTCGTGAGCGCAAACAGGGCTTCAGCGTCCTTCTTCTCGCGGATTCCAATAATCAGGGCCTCCATCGCCCTCAGCTCATCCGCCAGTCGACGCGCCTGCTCTAGTAGGGCCCGGAACCGGTACTTAGGCATAGGACTAGCCAGATCAGCCGCAAAGCCCGATGGGCTGATCCCCGATGCCAGGGCCCGCATCAACTGGCCAGGGTCCAGTGGGGGCTCAAAGAGGGCGCGATCCTGCACATTCCCGTAGAGGTCCATGTTGTTCCGGATCTTGAACAACCGGTCGTCGATGCGCTGTCGCAGAGCAAGGAATTCCGAGTTGGCAGGCACACAAAAGTACCCGGTCTCAATGTAGGGCATGGAATTCTGGTCGAGCCGCGCGAGCGGCTGGCCCCGATCGCCCGGGTCAGACTGGAAGGGGAAATCCAGCTCAAGTTTGACATCCGGGTTCGGGGTTGTCTCAAGGTCCGTTTTGGCCAGGTCATTGTAGGTGGTTGTCTTGCGCTTGCCCAGGGAAGGCACGGGCACAGGTGCCGCACCAAAGACATGCGAGGCCTCAATGTACCGTTGCATGGCCAGAGGCAAGACCTCAAGCGTGTTCTGACGGAACCACGCGTCGCCGGCATCCAGCAGGATCTCAATGTACTTCATGGCCAGCCGCTTCATGTACGCAATTGGGTGGCCCCGGGCGGCCGCATGCACACTGGCGCGGTCTGCACTCCACTCAGCGAGCGTCAGGTGGTCCTGCTGCGTCGACCCTAGATTTTCCGAGGGCAGCTGCGTTGTGTTCTCATCGCGGAAAGGTGGGAAGAGCCAGCAGCGAGTAAGGTCTGTACCCTCAATTGTGGGGTCAAAGGCACACCGGGCGATGGTCAGAGCTAGCTCATATTGGCCCGTTGACTGCAGACGCTCCATCAGCAGACTCACAGCATGCACGCCGGTCTCCCATGAGTACAGCGCAGCGGGAGTGGCAAGCTCATGGTAGACGTTGCCCGAGAGGCCAAATCCAAACTCATAGTAACTGTCATTCAGATCAGAGAGCGTCTGGAAGATGTCTCGGAAACCTGAGCCTAGAGTGGCCTTCTCCATGAGCACGGGTGAAACTACGCTTGACATGAGCGCCGTGTCGATCTCGTCCTCATACTTGACCGGGCCATCAGTGTACTGCGGATAGCCAAACCGGCTCTGGGAGTCGCCCCCACTCGAGACAGTCAGCAGCAGGCCCGTGGGCCGGTCCCAGTTAAGCTCGTCAAGGGACAGAGTCCAGCTGTACTCGGCGGATTCGTTGGGGGGGTCCGTGCAAGTGAGATACACGCGAGTGTCGCTCTTGCCGTGGTGGTCAATGGTGTACTTCTTGGGCGGGACCGTCTGGTCGCTGTCATCTTCAACATGCCAGGAAAGGCGCATAAAGTCTGTTGGCAGGGTCTTTTTGCCTGAGGAGTCTTTGTTCTTATCATTCAGGATGAGGGTATGTCCACGCAACTCCCACTGGCCCAGTGGAAGCGCTGTACAGCCATCGAGACCGGAGGATTTCGAATCTTGGTCGAATCGCTCGACCTCAATGGTGAGGAGGTCAAAAGTCTCGTTGTCGAAGACCGACTGCACGGTGCGCTTGTCGGTCCAGAATCGAAAGCAGCCAACGTGAGGCAAGACAGCATCAGTGATCTCGAGCACCTGCTGAGAGACCTGTTTGGGTGCCCATTTGCCATTGCGTAGCTCGGTCCAGCCCATCGAGAGCTCCCAGTAGCTGCTTGACTTCACGTCACTGGGTTTCTTGTTACCCATGCTCTGGAAGTCGTCTTGGCTGTCAGCATCGCTCTGTACTGTCTTGAGTATCAGATGTGGCAGAAAGAGATACAGACGACCGCGGAAGACCGTGGGGATCAGGTAGGTTCCTGGGCGCGCCAGCTTGCGGCCGTTGATATCAACATCCTGAGGGATGATGCCAACATCCAGCTTGGTCCATGGCTTCCAGAAAGTGAAGTAATCAGTGTAGGGTCCACGGAAGGCCAGCCACCGGTAGAAGTAGCGGTAGGGTGTTGCGCGCGTGCGGGCGAAGAGATGCACGCCGCCCAGGTCAGCATCCTCGGAGCTGACTCCCTCCTTTATCGGCTTGCGCTCCCACAGGTACGTCAGCGGCTCCAGGTTTGCGACCTCATCCACGGCGTAGATGTACGTCTTGAGTGCGTTCTCGATCGAGTCGGGTGTCAGCTTCGTGCGGAGCACCGTCGACTCAAATGCCCGGAACTGCTCACTCTTGTCATCCCGCAGCGTTGGATCGATCCAGTTCTCTGGGTAGAGAAACGCCTTTCGATTAGCCTCCCACAGCTGATAGCGCAGCATGTAATCCCAGTCGTCGCGGTTGACCGAGGTGCTGGCCACCCCGTAGTCGCGCTCGAGGCCCAGCATGCACCGCTGCACGTACAGCTGCACGGTTGAGATGGCCTGCTTCAACCGCGATGTCTTCATACCCGAACCCATCTGCACATCGATCAGGAAGTGTTCGTACAGCGCATCGGCGTCCGTGAGCCCACGTGCGCGGATGGGCTCCTGCTGTAGCAGGTACTCCACCAGCGCCGCCCGCTGGTTCTCGCGCAGCTGGTCGTTCGCTGCCTGCAGAGAGTTTGTCCGCCGGGCGTAGATTGCCAGCCGGAGCTGCTCTGCGTTGGAGAAGTCCCCTGTGGGGATCTCGTTTGGCTTTGAGGCAGGAGCTGCGAGACTGTACAGGAGCTCCGCCGAGACGGCCGGGATTGTCAGGAGCGGTGAGGCTGCAGTTATGGCTCCCCGGATGCGCTCAAGAGCATGAAGGTCGTCCTGCACCATGCGCTGGACCACAGCGGCATCATCAAGCCCCTTGTAGTGAGCATCGCGGACCGCTTGGACCAGGGCCTCATCCCAGCGACCCAGTCGAGCCAGCCGAGGAACAAGTGTCTTTACATCATCTGGGCTCGCCAGCCATTTGCGAAAGTCCAGGAGTGCCGAAGTTGAAGGGCGGTCCTTGGACGCGGGCAGGGAGTCGCGCAGGTTGGTGTACACCTGCAGTTCCTCAAGCTCGGCCACGCTCGGCGGCTGGAAGACAAAGTTGATCCTGTCCGAGTGCAGATAATGGACCTCTTCAACGTCCAGTCGGTAGCTGTGCACGAGGAGCGCCACCTGCGAGAGGCTCACCAGGATCACGCTGGCCGTCTTGACGGCAGCCAGGTTAATCACTAGGTTCGGGGTGAAGGCTGCTGCCTTCTCCAGCGCTGTTATCCACTGGAGGTCGGTCGCAAGGGTCCCGCTCCATGCAAAGGCATATACCTGGCCGTTGAGTAGTCGTCGTGGCGGCGTTATGTACCGGGTGTCGTCCTTGGGATCCCGCTCAAAGGCCACCCGGACGCCGTCGACGGACAAAGTCTGGGTAGAACCTGCCTGGGTTGTGACAAAGCTATACATACCGGTCGTTGGGGGGATAAAATAGCCCGTGAAATCCGGATGACTAATGTCGGGCAGTGTCAGCTGGCACAGGTTGTGCAGGGCCGGATGTTGCCCATCCACAGTGAGTACAACAGAGAGCATGAACTGTAGGATCTCAGCATTGAGATCGGGGAACAAAGGTTGCAGAATCTGACAGATGCTCAAGAGCTTCATCTTGGGCGCCTGCTTGGCCTTCCAGTCCTCATCGCTGCCGAGTCCTGGGCCCGTGTTGCTGGCGATGATCTCAACCACGGTGGACACCACCTCCTCAACGGTGACGCCCATGACATCCGTGATCCCCATGCGCAGCGGATCCTGCGTAATAAAGGCCAGGCTGTCCAGGGTCCAACCAAGAGAAGTCAGAGCCTTGAACCTCCGGACAGACTCGATCGTCACCTGCGGGGTTTTAAAGGGGTCAATCCCAGGGTAGAGGACGAGGAACGTGTTGTACTGCTCTGCGTCGATCTCCAGTAGCCGGCAGAGTACGGAGATCCGGTAGACCTGCGAGACGCTGTCAAGCGAAAGCGTGCTAGGGACCTGGGCCTCGACGGCGGCAAACCCAGACGCTGTGAGACCGAGGGCTGACTGCAAGATCACCGCACCGCGGGACAGCTCCTGGCCGGCCATGGTGAGATTCCCATCGGCCCCGACCCGGAATACCGCGTTATGTGGCGCGAGTCTGGGGTTCATGAAGCGGCGCATGTACGTCGAGGAGGGTCCTTTCGTCGGGATGTCTCCCCAGAGCGGGAGCAGCTCTGCAACCGTGAGGCCGGTTGTGACGGACAGCTGCTGAACGCCGGCTAGTCCGCTGACGACGTCTGGGGTGATGGTGTTACTGCTGCCGGACAGAACGGTAATCGCAACGTCGGTATCCTCGATGGTCCACTGCAGCTTCTTCCACAGGCGCAGGAAGGCCTGCAGCCGATCACAGATGTCTTCGGTCAATGGCCCCGCCGGATGAGCCCCAGGAGACTGGACGTAACGCAGCCGCATATCGTCCAACTTGCCTGAGAAGGCTTCCTCCCCGCTCGGCATCTCGATGACTAGATGGCCTCCGAGATAGGTGGTCTCGAGGAGGGCCAGGAACTGGCTGAAAGTGACACCTGCGCGCGGGAGGAACTGGGCTTTGATGAAAGTCAGGCCCGTGGATGTGTCACCGGTCGCGAGCATCTCACTCGTCGACTGGTACCCCCAGTAGGCGGCTGCAGACTTCAGGCCGATCTGGCGGTGATACTCGGCCGTTGATGAGCTGTTTAGGAAGTCCTGTGTCTGGATAGCTTCTTTGGTGATGATCACGTAGTCCTCCTGCTGGAGTCCCAAGGTCTCGGCAGCATTGAATCTGTCCAGTACGGCAGCTGCTTTGAGCGCTGACTGAGAGTTCTTGGGCAGCGAGGCCAGCGAGGCCAGCCGCTGTTCAGATCGAAGAGCCGTCGCCAGACCATCACGAGTGGTACCGAGGGCGCGCAGGAAGCTCCGGATGCTGTCGATTGCCTGGTTGTAGGGAAACTGCGTCAGGGGGAACACCATGGGTTGGATGGTATCTTGGTAGACCGAGTAGTCAACGTGGCGAGGCTCCGCGTTGTCATCGTCGCTGTTGTCGGAATCGTCCATATTATATGGCTCGTCCACCTTGAGCGGGTCCGTCTTGTGGACGACTGGATGCTTGACAACCCACTCTAGGGCCTCGAGGACCAGGTCGACATAAGGTAGAAGAACGTTAGTGTTGGCGCACGACAGCTCCAACTCGCCCAGATCCGGCCGACGGTCGAACAGGAAGTCCAGCAGCGACTTGTCCCGCGCCCCTCGGCCCACAGGCCACTTGGTCAGCTGGTGCAGCATGCTCACAAAGTAGGCCGCCGGGCTGGTGATGGATGAGCAATCAGCGCAGTCGTTGATCTGCATCACGCTGGGGAATAGGTTCCCGATGTTGATCTTGCCGTCTGTCGGGCTGGAGGCCGCCCCTGAGAGTTGCGCCAGCCACAGATCCTGTGCAGGAGTGGTCGGGGCCAGCTGGACCTCAGACTTGGCTCGCAGCGCTGTCACCCACAGCTGTTCATTTCGCCGATGGATGCGGCATGCCTGGTGGTAGATGCGCTCGGCGGACTCGGCGATGATGCCGGCATCTGCTACCACCGAGACAAACCACGAGAGAGAGGTGCGAGATATGGCCACCGCCGAGTAGAAGGAGCGCTGGATGAGCCGGGGAATGTCCAGGGGATCGGTGACGATTGCCTGCAGGCACTGCAACACTGCGATAAGGCCCGACACACGGGCTTGGTCCGGTTGCGGGACCAGCTCAAGGAACTGCGGATCCTTGAGGTGACGACGTACGGAGTCCCGGGAGATATCAAACCCAGCATCGAGCCACTGTTTGAGCGTCTTTGCAGCTCCGGCCCGGACGGCGGTTTCTCCTGGGAATGTGTCGAGGTCCAGTAAGGCGTACACGGTCGCCGTGGGCTCCAGTCCCAACATTCGGGTACGCAGGGTCTGCAGGACATCCGCAGGATAGTCCGTAGTTTCAAAAGAGCATGATCGAAGCGCCACATCGCGTAGACAAACCACCTCCGCGTTACCAAGCAGATGGGATAGGAGGCCTAGGTGCTGGCTCGTGCTGGACAGTAGCTGGCTGATGAAAAGCAGCTGGTCCGCACGCGACCGCTCTGGTTCGATCCTGGCTTGCGCCTGTAGTGTTTGTGAGAGATCCGTTCCATTGCCCTGGGCCTCACTGAATGTCTGTTCCAAGGTAGAGGAGAGGCCAGGGAAGCTGCTTGAGAGGAGAGCACGCAGCTCCGGGTTCGTGGCAGCCATCGTCAGGATTATTGATAGAGAATCAATACCACTTGATAGATGCAAAGGGGAGACTGCCTCCAAGAAGACTCCTTCCTGTCTTTCGGAATGCCAACTAACCCTTTTTCTTATTGTGTTTGATTTTGTTGGTGGTGGGTAACAGCACTGTACAGACGCTCTTCATACGGTAATGATTTAGTCATTTACATCCCCAAACAACGAATTGCACAGCTGCACCTTTGCTGCAGCAGATGTAGCGCAAAACTCCTGGTCCGCGAATCACACCCGGAATCTGCCCATGCATCACTATTCCCTGAGCTTATCCAGGTGGCAACCAGAATTGAAGCACCCTAGAGGGAGCAGCAGACGGAGCTCTGACAGTGCCAAACAAAGCGATTCGTAAAGCATGAAGATTGATCCTTCTCGGCGTTGGGAAAGTTTCGTGATGAGCTGTCAGGACATTCCCCGCTCTGCAGGAGCTGCACTCGAGCGCCACTCGAGCGTTTGGCTCCTTTTGGGTGGGGGCGAAATCCAAGGCAGTTAACTAATTGGCAAGTTAGTTCACGCTTAAATCTCACCCGAGACGGGAGAGTGACGAGAAAGCCTAGTTAGGAACAGTTCGAACTGCTGTAATCATAGCGTGCCATGGAAAATACTGCCCCCCCTGGATTCCATACACCGTGTATCTCTCCTCCGCCCCCTGTGAGCAAGGCTGTTAAAAACCCCCTCCACGAATCATAGTACTTCAACATGATCACCGGAGAGGATGGAGGAGGGGGTTCAGCCAGCCACAAGGAGATCTAGACCATTACAAGGTGAGGGGAAGCAGTGAAGGAGGGGCAGTGATTGAGGTAACGAACTCGGTGTATGATGGGGGATGGGACTGGGCATTGGGGAGGGCAATCGGAATAGCTTCATCTTCCGCATGCACTTCTGAAGAAAAAGAGAGAAACAAAGTCGAACTCCTCAGGACGTTCTCTGCGATCTACTGATCACCCTACATTGGTGATCATGTCGCTTCCGACTCATCTCCAGGCACCCCCAGGGGCAGGGGACTCGTCCATGTTCGCTGCAACTTCGCATTCGCAAAACTTAATGCCTCCTCTGCTCGCTTCCTCTTCTGACTCCGGCAGACAGGCGGTGCAGCAGGCAGCATCACCATTACGTGTTGAGGCTGCAACCGGCGCTGCCTCTCTGTCTGTCCCAGTCTATGTATCCCCAGGACGCGACGCAGGCACCACTCCGGGACTGGAATTGACATATAGCTCTCATGCGGCAAATGGTCCATTTGGACTCGGCTGGTCCCTGACCCTGCCATGTATCTCTCGCAAGACAAGCAAGGCTGTCCCCCGATATGACGACGAGGACGTCTTTGTCATGGCTGGGGCGGAGGATCTGGTATGTCTCGAGGGGTCCCCATCAACCAATTCGGCCGGCTATCTGGTGCGTCAATACAAACCCAGGGTGCAGTTTGGCGCTTCCCAGGCTCGGATCGAACGCTGGACGAACCGCAGCGATCCAACAGATGAATTCTGGCGGACCGTCTCTGCGGCGGGGCTCATTACGGAATATGGGAAGACTGCGGAGGAGCGCATCTGTGATTGCGAAAACACAGAGAGAATATTTACCTGGTATATCAGTGCTTCGTATGATTTGAAAGGCAATTGCTGCGCCTATCAATACAAGGCCGAGGATTCTACGAATGTCGATCTCTCCTGCGTCCATGAACAGAACCGTTCTGCCCTTGGTCGTACAGCAGGGAGGTATCTCAAGCGTGTTCTGTATGGGAACCGACAGCCGAATCGCGACCTGGACACCTGGACTGTACAGCCGGTGCCTGTGGATGCGACTGATTACCTGTTCACCCTGGTCTTCGACTACGGCGATCACGATCAGGCGTTGCCCCAGCCATCCGAGCAGATTTCCTGGCCTGCCAGAGCAGATCCATTCTCCTCCTCCGTTGCGGGCTTTGAGGTGCGCACGTACAGGCTCTGCCGTCGCATGTTGCTCTTTCACAACTTTTCCCAGGACGGTGTCGAGGATTCTCTTGTCGCGTCAACTGTCTTGACCTACGAAGAGGCTGCAACAGGGTCAGCTCTGGTCGCTATCACACGGCACGGACATCGTCGGGTCCCCGAGGGAGCCGGGTATCAATACACGGACGAGACTCGTCCTGCCCTGCAGATGGAATACAGCCAGCCAGAACTGCAGCCGGGAGCTTCTGGGGAGGCTTTACAACCGGTGGCCGTCGATACGTCGCAGTTTCCCGATCTTCCGCACGCCCATCCTAATCGGCGCACACAGTGGCTGGACCTGAACGGTGAAGGGTCTCCTGGTCTCCTTGCCCAGCTTTCTACCGGTGAGTGGGTGTACATGCGAAACGAGAGCTCGCGCGATGGCAATTCGACGGCTTCGTTCCACCCCCCTCAACGCCTTCTTACTGTTCCCAGCTCCCTGCTCAACCCAGCAGGCTTCTTCGCCTCCCTAGCTGATGACGGGTCTCTGCAGGCCGTCGACGTTGACGGACACCATCGATTACAGGGGTACTCGGAGCGCAATCCCTCTGATGACGCTGGATGGAGCCCCTGGGTTCTCCTGCCAAGCGTACCTACAGATCTAGACGACAGCGGACTGCACACATACTCCATTGATCTAGCCGGCAGCGGACGCCAGGACCGAGCCCAATTCATGCAAGATAGCTCCGGACGCCTGCAGTGGTATCCATCCCTGGGCACGAGTGGCTTCGCAGCTGGGCGAATCCAGACCGGCCCATTACTCCCCAGAGATGAGGGTGGAACCGCAGCCGTCTTACTCGCCGATATGACGGGCGACGGGCTCACCGATGTCGTGCATGTGCGTACCGGGGACATCGTCTACTGGCCGAACCTGGGCCATGGCCGGTTCGGCGCCATGGTCCGGATGGATCACGCCCCCATCCTGAGCTCGTATCCCGAGTTCAATGCATCCCAAGTCCGACTCATGGATGTGAACGGGTCTGGGGGCGCGGATCTCGTCCACTTTATTCCTGGGGGTGGCGCTGCGATCTACTTCAACCAGAGCGGAAACAGCTGGAGCAAGGCCATCTCTCTCCCCGTCGTTCCGGACCTTAGCCTGCTGGCGAGTATTGAAGTGGTTGACATCCTCGGGCGGGGGCTCCCTTGTCTCTGTTGGACCCTGGCCCATGCCCCAGGGGAAGGGTCTCCGCGTCTCTACTATCTCGATCTACTGGGAGGGACCAAGCCGTGGCTGTTGACCAGATACACCAACGGAGTCGGTGCGGAGGTTACCTTGAAATATCTCCCGTCCACCCACTTCTACCTTCAGGACGAAGGCACTAGCCAGGCGTGGAACACGAAACTGCCTTTCCCTGTGGTCTGCGTGGCGGCCCATACGATTGAAGACCAGGTGGCTGAGACGAAGCAAACCACACGCTACGCCTACCATGACGGCTTCTACGACCGTGCTGAGCGGGAGTTCCGAGGCTTTGGCCTTGTCGATGTCTGGGATCAAGAGGATCTCGCCGCGGGTCCTGGTCTGAAAAGACTGCATGTACCCACTCGCCATTCACGTACCTGGTTCCATACCGGGGCGCCAATGTTGGCGTTGGGAACTGCCTTCGGCCATGGCAATGCACGAGTGCCTGAGCTTGCCCCGTTCCATCTGCCTCAGGACGCTGTCTCTCCGGACGAGGTTCGTGAGTCTCGACGGGCCATGAAGGGGAAGATCCTGCGTTGTGAAGTTTACGCGAATGAACAATCAAAAAACGACCAGATCCCCCTCCTCGTCACTCAGCACAGCTACACTGTTCTCATGGAGCAGGCAATAAATGACATAGCGTGCGTTCTACCTCGTCCCATCTCTAATCATGCTGAATAGTGAGTACTTACATGGGTAAACGAGAAGTAGTAGCCACACTAGGCCCGACACGGTGGTCTACGAGCAGCCTCATGGGCGGTTCCGAGTCGTAGACCGGGAGTCCCTCAAGATCACGTACGCGGGCGCTTCTGATTTGCAAGACGCTCGGATGGAGCACGATATGGATCTTGCAATCAATGAATATGGACAGTCCACGACCCATGTTTTGATCCAGTATGGAAGACTGAATCCTCCGCCCGATCTGGACGACCAAACCAGGGCTGCCCAGCAGGAGACGATCATCCAGTATACCGAGTCCGCTCTGACGAATCCTCTGGATGAGGACGACGTCTTTGCCCTCCCCATGGTGGCAGAAGAAAAGGCGTATCGACTCCGCGGTGTCTCGCCGCCGGACCCTCCTTTGTTACTTTTTGCCTTTGAGTCCCTGGCTGCTGATGACTGTGCATTGCTCAGGCACGCTACTGAGGTTCCATACGAACAGGATCCCGGTCCTGCTGTGTCTCCTGGTTCCTACAGGGTCCTAATCTCAAACACCCGCTCCTACTACCGTGCATCCGACATGACGGGACGTCTGGCATTGGGCAAGATCGAGGCCTACTCGACTCTCGACCAGACATATCAGCTTGCCGTCACGCCTGGGCTCAAACTCCAAGTCTTCGGAGACAGCCAGGATCCAACCTCCCTGCATGCCGGGTGGTCAGCGCAGGACGGTGCCTATGCAGACCTCGACAACGACGGCAGCTGGTGGATTCCGAGTCAAAGGAGCCGGTTTTGTTCCCCGGATGATGCCATGAATACCGGCGCCGAGCTTAGAGAAGCACGATCACATTTCTACCTGCCCACGTTCGCCATTGATCCGTACGGGAATGTCAGCTCCGAGGAACTCGACCGCTACTGTCTCTTGAGGATCCGGTCAGTCGACAGCGTCGGCAACGCCGAATCGTATCAACCCGACTATGTCAGTTTACAACCCATCATCTTGACAGATTCCAATCAAAACCGTACCTTGCTCGTATTTGATAGCTTTGGCACCCCGATAGGTGCAGCGATTCAGGGCAAAGTCGGCGAAGGGCTCGGCGATACACTAGATGATTTCACTAGCCACCTGAGTAGAGAGGATATTCTATCGTTCATGAATGATCCAGTCGCATCCGCGCCGACGCTGCTTGGGTCAGCGACCTGGAGACGTGTGTATAACCGGGAATGGGGACCAGAGACACCCATCTTTCAAGGTGAACTCCGCCGAGACCGACATGCTTCTTCATCAACCCAGATATCAATTTCCATCTCCTTCTCCGATGGTCGCGGTCACAATATTCAGTCTGCTGTCCTGCACTCAGGTCATGGTGCAGCACGATGGAGAAGAGAAGGATGGAGCATCCACAGCACCATTGCGAATAAGCCCGTCCTGGTCTTCCTCCCGACTCTCGACAGCGTCCCTCGCTACTGCAGGCGCAGTGTAGTCCCTCCGGAGAGTCTCCCGCCAAGTTCAATTACTATCTTCGAAGGACTAAACCGGGCTGCTGCCACACTGCACCCAGGCAACACCTGGCAGGTGACAACCTTCGGCCCCTGGACAGTGAAGCAGAGAGACGCCGGAGACAATGTCCTGATAGAGGATATGGCACTTGATCCCGATATCGGCCGTCTGGTATCAGCAACCATGGGCCGCGAGAGGTACCAGCCAACCTGGTACGCAACCCACAGCGCTGCCACGGCGTCGGCAGAAGACCAGGCCGCTGCAGAGAAGTCCAAGGTCTATAGTGATACTCCGGATCTACACCATGTGGATGCTGCCGGCCGTACCATCTCCTGGGTCACCAGCGAGGGTTCACCGGTGCGTCAGACTTCGCGCCTCCATCTAGACGTTGCCGGAAATGCCACTGCGGCATTCGACACGCTAGCGCGCGAGGTTACAAGGAGCCAGAGGGATCTCTGTGGCCGCGACCTTTACGCAGCTGGCATGGACAATGGACCGGCCTGGTCCTGCCCAGACGCCGTGGGTCGTCGATGGTTGGCCTGGACAGTGGACCCCGATAATGGTGAACCGGCGACGCGCACGCGGATGCAGTACGATCAGCTTGGACGACTGACCCACGTCTGGCTGCGGGAAGGAATCGCCCTCGGGACACCGGAGTGCCTCATCATTCAGCACGACTACGGAGAGACCCAGCCCGACGCTGCAGCGAAGAACCTGCGCACCCAGCACTACTGTACCTGGGATCAGGCCGGCCTGTTGGCCAACACGGCCTACGATTTCAAAGGTAACTGCGTGCGTCGAGAGACGACCTTTGCCGAGGACTACAAAGGGACGCTCGACTGGTCGGCCGCAGGACGTGACCGGCCGGCTTTGGAAACGGTTAATGTCGAACAGGCCGAGTACGATGCGTGCAACAAGCTTCTACGTATTATCGGTGTGGGTGGGAGCATCACTGAGAATACATACAACGTGGCCGGCTCGCTGCAGTCAGTTTGTCTTGCTCGGGGAAGTAGTCCGGACATCAAGGAGACCTTCCTCAGTAGCATCGCCTACAATGCCATGGGCCAGAGAGAGCTTGTCAAGTACGGCAACGGTGTGCAAACCCAACATAAATACGATCCGTTGACGAATCGAGAAGTGCACAAGAAAACATGGAAGACTGGTGGTGCGGTCCTCCGCGATCTGCAATACACCCACGACTGTATGGGACGACAGGTGTACCGTGAGGACGCTGCCCAGCAAGACGTCTTTTTCCGCAACAGTGTCGTGCGACCGGTCAACGATTATATCTATGATGCGCGCGGCCAGCTGGTGAGATCGACTGGACGGGAGCAGATCGACGGCCAGGGGTCTTCTCTCACCCCATCTGGCCCCGCATACGACGGACAGCAGACTGTGCCCAGCAACGGCAGTCAGATGTGCGAGTATACAGAGACAGTGGCGTACGATGCGGCCGGGAACATCAGCTCGCTCACGCATGAGTCAGGGGACAGCAGGGTGTCTGGCTGGAAACGATCGTATTTCTACGCGGAAACCAGTAACTTGACAGACCCGACGTCGGGGATCAAGAATAACCGGCTCAGCCGAACCACGGTCCGAGGGGCGGAGGAGAACTACTATTACGATGCCCGGGGCTGTATGACTTCCATGCCGGGGACAATGAAGGCCAGCTGGGACCACTTTGAGCAACTCCGGGTCAGCACGTCCCAGCGAATACGTCAGGGGGTGCCCGAGACCACTTATTATGTCTACAATGCCCTCGGCGTCCGGGTGCGCAAGGTCACGGAGCGAGCCGCGGCAGAGAAGAAAGATGCGAGCAAGCTACGGGAAACATACACGCTCAGTGGTTTTGGAGGCTACGAGATCTACCGCGAGTACTCGGGGGCGTCAGGGGGAAGCCAGGGCGCCCTCAAGTCTCAGAAGAAAACCGTGCAGGTCCATGATGGGGGGTCGACACCTTTAGCGCTTGTTGAAGAGGCCACCACCGGCTTGGGAGGGTTACCATCTGCCAGCTCCCGATTCCTGATGCTCCTGTTGATCCGCTATCAACTGGATGACGGCCTTGAGGTCGACGATCTGGGACAGGTCATCTCCATGGAGGAATACTCGCCGTTCGGACCGACCACCTTCCGTGCCACTCGGAGCGATGTTGACAGTCCTGCCAAATACCGGTTTGCTGGATATCCACGAGACACCCAGGAGACGGGCTTGTACCACTGCGAGGCCCGCTACTACGCTGCATGGATCGGCCGATGGACGTCATCGGATCCTCTGGGGGTGTTGGACGGCCTCAATGTGTACTGCTATGTTGGAAATGACCCAGTGAACCGGTGGGATCCTAAGGGAACAATAGAAGAGCCCCAAGGACTCGGTACGAGTCGTCAACTGGCCCATATTTTGGGAGAAACCCAGTTCCGACCTACAACCTCGCTCGGAATCGCACGGCACATCTATGGAGAGGGCAGAGGCAGGCTGCACTTGTGGGGCTCCGTCGTGGAATTCGAGGAACCATTGAGTGACAGGCAGTTACGGCAGGTAGCCCACATGGCATACTTCGAAATGAGCACTGACTATGACACCAATCTCTACCGGAGAGGGCGGGGCGCAAACGCCGTCTGGAGGACAAAACCCGCTATCTGTGCATTCGCATGGCAGAATATGGAGCAGGTGGACAAAGCACGAACGAAGGCCACAGATGATAGACCGCGTACCTTCAAGCCCACAGTCATGACCGCCTTTGCAGTCAAGGACACCAACATGGTCATTTTCGCCTCGTCCATGAAAAGTCAAGAGGACGGCGGCGACCCCAAACGATGGACATATAGTCAGCGCTATCTGCATTCACTCCTGCACTATCACCCGGTCGAGAGAGAGGACCAGCATCAATTCGGCGCCTGTGGCGAGATCATGGCCATCAACCAGTGGTACCGCCAGAATCCGCCGACCAACACGGGAATTCCAGCCGGCCACATGATGGCGTACGAAGCCGGTCGGTATGGTGGCGGGAGGGTAAAGCCACCCTGTGGTCCTGCACAGCCTGGAGAGAATGAGTCCTGGGGGTGTAAGTACATGCTGCAGCGATTGGGAATTCCGACTATCGACGCCCCTCCAAATGCGGATCAATTGCCCAAGAGCCGAATATTGCGGTGGTGGCGGTGATATTAACCACTAAGTACACTACTTGAGATCCCATATTCCTGTACAGAGTACCTATAGCGTAGTGAGATAGTATGTGACAATTACATTGCTGGAGCATAGGTACTATGCACAATTAGATTAACGTACATCCCTCCCAAGTCCCCAGCAAGGTAGGATACGTCCTAGATAGCACCTCACTAGGGTGGGTATGGTATCGTGCAGTGTGACGAAGACCGTCAGATACGGTAATACCGCATACTGACCATGTTATGACATTAATTCAGGCAATCAGCGCTAAAGATGCGTACGTGATCCGATTAGGAAACCCTTCAGCCAGCCCTCTCTCTTACCCCGCCGAGCTAAGTTTAGTAGTAGTAGGGAGATGGGCCCCGGAGCTCCCGAGCTGAACTCCAGATACTGTTCTGCAGAGGGTGTGTAGGCTGTAGCCGATGAGCCTTGACCAGACCAGTAAATATAAATCACAGCTAAAAAACGAGGGGATTGCTAGTAATAGCAGCCAGAAAATCTCTCTCCGTATTCCCACTGTTTCCCTTGAACCTGTCATTGAATTTCTCTAGTTAAGTTCCCCGTTCCTGCTAAGACCTTTCGCCATGTCGGACCAGGACGCTCGTCTTCAGACGACGACCATTACGTCGCCGCCAGAGTATTATGACCAGGTTCTTGCTCTGAGTTCCAAGCTCCTCAACGAGAGCTGGGAGCAGCTGTGGCGCGATAATCCCAAGTTAGAGGATATCATTATAGATGATGGTGCCAATGGCACCTTGAAAGGAAAACTGAACCCCTGTCAGTTTTTCGTCACCGGCAATATCGAGAACGGAGTCCATGCTCTGTATAAAGTTAGGTACGGATTCCTTTTTCTTTTCCCTTTTCCCCTATTTCCCAACGGATGGGCCTCCAGTGTCTACAGTTGGACTAAAAAATGATCTTGGAGCCAGATTCAAGTCCGGGATTTTGACGACCTCGGGAAAGCATGGGCAAGCAGTCGATGTGACAGGGTGGGAGATCGCCATCGAGGTGGAGCTTGATAATCAGACAGACGATGACATGACCGATGATCAGATGAAATCCATCACCAAATACTATAATTTCCCTGCGAAAGGAGATGCTGGTAGTGCAGGAGACTATTCCATCACTCGCGTCTTTGTGGACTTGATAAGTACGAATTTTCTCTATATTCAGTGACAAGTCTCGTTTCTGACCGTTGGATAGATGCGAATATGAATATGGTCAACGAGAAACAGTCGACCTTCCGGGACCCCAAGACAGGCCAGCCGTGTACATGGAGGGAGTTACCGAATGACATTAAACGAGCAGTCAAGGGCTTCCTTGATGACTGGACCCTTGACCAGGACGCCAAAGGATATAACACGCTGGGGGTTACCCTGACCAGTCCCACGTACGAGGAAGGTAAGACTCTACAGCCCCTGGTGGATGGGCGCGCAGAACCCGTCAGGCTAATGAGCTGGTAATTGAATTAGAGAATCCATTGAAGCCAAGCTATCGTATGTGCTTTTCCCCGCTCTCTCTGGATCGATGGGGATACTGACACGCCTCTAGAACCCGTGAGTGTCTTTCATCAGGCGGCCAAGTATGCCAACCCGAGCGCCTCCGATGCGGATAAGTATAACTGTCTGCTGCTCTGCGAGCTGCTCGCGGGACATGATGACCTGAAATGGAAGTATATCACCCAGGAAAAGGCTAGTTGGTGCTACCCGGGTATCGATGCTACCTATGCTATTAGCGCCCATGTCATATTGGAGCGGTTCCTTGGACTACACTTGCAGCCTTTGATCAGAGCCAGCGAGGTTGTCCCAACAGAGACCGACGTGTGGACCTGGTCGTATAGCCATGCGGCATCCGCGGAACCCATCACTGGTGGAGAGGCCAGGTGGACGTTCAGCATTGGTTATAACAGTGCTCATACCGAAGCTGCTGACGACTATTTTAAACTGAATCCGGTGCCTAATACGCCAAATTACACCTGGTCCAAGACCAACAAGGGTGAAACTGGAGTACACTGGCATGAAAAAGCGCCACACAACCAAGGCCCGGGCTATGCATCGTTGATTCAAACAGGTAGGATCAGTCGATCATCAACCAAGGGCTCTTAACCATGGCTAACAGTGGTGTTTCTTTTTCTCCAAAACAGGCACCACCGACATCAACGTCAATCCAGCCGTCGGTTCCCACACGGTCTCAGTGTCCGCAAGCATCACGTATGGCTATGAGTACCGATACTCTTATGACACGTCCGACCTGGCCAGTATGGACGTCATTGCATCGTATGGGACCCCTATAATTCTCTCCATATCCGTGGGTGCTCACGGGGGAGTGGCTAACTAACCTTCACAGGGCTTCATATAGTGGGAAATGGATGCTCTCTCTATCCCTCTCCACGGACCAGAGCGGCCAGCTCTGTTTTTCTCTCGTGGGCAGCCCTTCCGACGTTGACCCACATGTAAAACTCGATCGCCAGGTGGGGTACTTGTGGAATGATGCCAGTTGGGACACAGATATCAAGACGCTCCTCAAAACTCAGCTCCACGATTCCTTAACCACGGCGGAGCAGAACTTGGCCAATGTCTTCCAGACAACAGGCAAGTTCGTCTACCCTTGCAACGGGGAACTCTCCTTCAAAAACCCCATGTTCAACAACTACGGAGATCTCCTGGCAGAAGTCGCGTACAAAGCGTAAGTTGGGAGCAGCCGTTTTATTGGTGTTTCTCTCCACTGACAGACTTGTACCATGTTGCAGGGCCCCCAAGGTCAATGTTCTGAGTCCCCAGGACGGGCCCAAGCTAAAACCCTATGCGGCGTCCGTCGACAAGTCGCTTGGAAGCGACCAGGGAAAGAAAGCGCCCAAAACGTGATCCACATTGATATTGTATGCAGGGCACTCAGGCTGTCTGCGTGCGGGTAGTTCACTTAGAGCGAAGTATGTTGAGAATCAGAACTAGTTTATCCCAATTCAAGCTGAATATAATCCTTATTAGTGAAAAATCACCTAGAAGCAGTGGCTTTAATGTCTAAAGTAAGCATTGGAGTAAGCATCCTCTTTGTGGAGTGACTGTCTAGAGCCAATATTCTGCCCAGGATTGCCTCTGTACCCATGGCTAATGGCTCTGCTTGCCCTCTTGTAACCCCAAATATTTGTCTCGAGACTATAGCATGGTGTAGCTAATGGCGGTATATTATTCAAAATGCCTTTCTCTTCCCTTCTTGGCACTTAACCTTTTGATAATTAGATTTACTAGGTCTATAACTTAAGATATTATTTCTCTATCTAGCTATAATATAATAACTCTAGTAGTAGGGGTTTTAACTTATTAATATCCATATGAATCGGATTTCTTATCGGTTAAGGTTCTCATGACTGGACTTTGCTAACCATGACAGCCGGGAGAGGCACCGGGACCTCTGCCGAATTCGAGTTCTAAAGATGCTTCTGGTCTTTGATGAAATAGGTATGGTATAAGATACAAACTCTGGGTCAGAATAAGGATACTCTTGCATTCTCCTTCATATGGGCATTTGTCTCTCTAGGACCTCGGGTGACCATCTGCCATGTACATCATAGAACGGGCGGCGCGTGCCCAAGTTGGCCTAATGTTCTTCCCAGCTTTCCTGACTATCACACCATCATATATTCATCCCACAGCGTGGGCACAATGGCTTTCTCAGTGTACGCCACCATTTTGACTTGTCTCCTCTATTTTCAAGTATCCTTTGCCGTCCCTAATCAACCGCGCAGTGCGGGTGATATCCTCTCTGGCCTACAGTCCATTAACAATTAATCAAACACCCTGAGCATCTCCCTCTGTAACTTCAACAGCAGTCTTAACGGAACCCTCGCTGCTCTCTAAATCCAGGGCCAAATGATAGACCTCGTGCATATTATTAACAGCGCAACAGCCGCTACAAACCGGACCTCCAACCACAACAAACAAGACTGTAGGTGATATTCAGTACCCTGGATCTCCTTAAGGCTAAAAAGCTGGCCTTTAATACTGCTGGTTTGGGGGTTGCAAGTAGTATCTTGGTCAGGGCGGATCTTGCAGCTTTGAGATCCTCCACGGCGAATTTGGGAACTGTGATTATTTAGCGTTTGGTTCAGACGCTGCGGAATCTGAGGCCACTATTGATGTGCAGCATTGACTTTCATTTTTTCCATGCGCTTCAGGTGTACTCTTGAGCAGCTTGCCCTACTATAGAACGCACCCTTAGGTGTATAGAGGCGGTAGGTGATGAGAAGATATGGAGGATGGGGAAATAGCTGTGGCTGTTCTCAAAGTTTGTGCATGAGAGGACATGTTTAGGCCGCCGCCCAGGTCGAGAGATCTGATCTGGTCGGATCCGACTAGCCGAAAGTGGCCTTCTCTGAACTGGCTACCATCACGTAGAGGAGAGAAGAATGGCGTTCACAAGAAGAGTATCCCATACATTGAAAGGTGCATCTCCAGCTCGAATCTCTAGGGACTTAGGCCTTTGGTCTCTTGATTCAAGTTCAGATATGAATCAGGTCTACCTAGTCCCAAACAATGTGCGAGATCTACTGCCTCTCGGAAACGGTGCCTAGCAGCGTTGCGCTGACCAGTCCCGAACAAGGTGGCGAAAAGGAAGAAGCTCGCCAGGGCAGCTTCCATGGAAGGATTCTCTCCAAAGTCCAGCGTGGTGCGCATCCGCACGCACTCCTCTAGCAGTTTTCGCGGCTCGGCGGAGTGCGCCGATTTAAAGACACGCAGTATGGGAGAGAACGGAATCGGCTCCGCGACTTTGGGAGTTGTTCAGAATTAAGACCGTCCATGTTGGACGGTCCGCCTCGGAAAGGAGCCAAGGAGGGCAAGGAAGGGGATTCGAGACAAGATTATTTGCTTGGGAATAGCGATACTCCATGGGCAAGGAAGAAGGACTCTGCATAGAGTTAAAACAACAATGGGCATTACAGCACAATGCACAATGCCCTACGGCCCTAGTCACCTTGCCCTGTGATAAAATCTTGCCCTTCCTTGCACTGGTGAAGTAAAGTCCCCGGTTAGCTGAGCGGGTGAACTTATTAGTGATCTAGCAGATCTTCGGTGGTTGACTAAAGTTTGGGAATGTAATGGAGACCGGTCAAGGCGGCCTTTTGTGGGGCAGACTGGCCATTGACTCGTGAGTTTTAGTATCTGATAAACTTCGGCGGGGTTCTGCGCCTGGTTAACGAACCTCTGCCAGCAGACATGATGAAATCATCCTGGCATCTGATCAGAGCTTGTAAGTCCATTTACAGGCCTAAGCGTGTATATGTAAATCAATAGGACCTCGCTCATCTACCAGTTCAATACCTCCGCCATTATTTTGGCTATCCTCTCTTCCCCATCTGTCCTATTGTCGCAGCTCCACGTTTTGGTATCTCACAATGGGCAAAAGAGTCAGTGGACGCCCACCGAAGAGGCTCGGCTCCCACACTGGATCGTCCTCCATCCGGATTCCGAATGGTCGTGGGACATGAGGGTCAAAGAGTATTCAGAGACCATCCGCCCAAGGACCGCGGAATCCTTACGGTCTAAACTTCGTCAGTTGAGAAAGAATATCAGAAGGCGTCGTCCCGTACCTGGGAGGAAGGCGAGCATAACACAAGGCATGACGGCGAAGCAGGCTCGCAAAGAGCAACAAAGAGCACGAGAGATGCCTCCTCTGGTGGCCACTAGGGCACCGGGTCATCGGACGCATGCCGATTTCCGTGATATAAGGGCGGGACCTGAGCAGGTGAAAAGCGGAGGACAGGCGGTTCCAACCGCTGAGTTTCCGAGAACGCCGCCCACAACCCAGGTGGGCATGAAGAGTCCTGTCCGTGGTAGGGCTCTTGCGCGCCCAGACCAAGGTAAGATGAATACTCTTCAGGCACCTACGGTCCGTACACTGACGGGCCTTTTAGACTCTACATCTTCCAGTCTGTCGCAGCCACCGGTTCGTGGGCCATGGACCGGGTCTGGCAACTCGTCTATCAGTTTGCAGGCCGTACAAGGCCGCGACCCTCGGGCCATCCACATCGTTAGCGTTAGAAAACAGAAGGAACTACTGCCTGCTTCCATTCTCTGAGGTAAAGTGCAGATACCGGTGACGTCTGGTGGGCCGGACGAAATAATTGTGTACCAATGCGCTTTAGCTACAGCATACGTTGTAAATGGCACGGTGTTCGTGGCCTGAGCACATCGAGACTATGGCTAGGCTGCGGCAATCGGTGATGTTATAGTAATAGCCAATCTGCCAATCACCGACCGAAACGCGCCATACCTCGGGGCGATACTTCTCTCATGCGGCTCTCCAAGTTTTATGTCCGGGCATAGCTGGTAGTGAGACGACTAGGTAGATGGTATGGCTGATAACCTCGTTAGTTCCACTGATATGATATCCTGGGATTGAAGTACTGTACCGGCTTATTCCGACATGTGGTTTCGGAAGGCGCGGATCGGGAGCTACTACCTCGCGAGGGATCCACAAGCATTAGCCGAGCTTGCAATCAAGCTTCAGATATTGTAGAGTACAGATACAGAGGATTCGGTTTATTTCCCACCGTACTATCTTGCCCGGGCTTCGTCGTGGCTCATCGGCGTGTTCTGGATAACGAAATCCACCGGAGGACACTCCAAAGCCGAACTTGGTTGAGATCATCGCTGCCTTAGCGAACATAGATGCCCGGGTATCTCTACCTGGTTAGTTCTTGCCTCGCACCTCACCACCAAATATCCCTGCCCAGAAGGCGTCAAAGTACCATCGACGGAATGCAAGAAAATTGCGGAAACAACTCAATTTGCAAGCAAGCCAGGCATCGGCACCGGCACCGGCCTGAATGTTGAGACATAACTGGTCCTTCAATTTTCTTGTGGCCATCTCTTTAATAATTGACTCTACTTCCTAGATATGACCATTCCTTGCCCGATTGCATATCTCGTTTGATTTTCTTGCCTGTGGATTGCCAATCTCAATGTAGGTGTTGAACCCGTGACGTTGACCAACTGGCCAAGTCACTGATAATTTCTACAGCACATCTTGGTGAACAAAAAAGATACTTTGCAGTCAATGAATCAATCATGTTATGAGCGTGGCGACGGGTATCCCAGAGGACCCTCTGGTGGTCGGCTGTGTAAATGCAATAAACTTTCCATCAAACATCAAGCAGAATCGTAAGTCCAGACGATTTCCTAATGGAAAAATCTCGGAAATGGGAACCGCCAGGATACCCGGTGCATCTAACGCATCTGTCATATTGGCACCCTGGTGAAAAACCCGCGGCTCAAAGGGGGGCGCTCAACATCGCTGGGCTGCCAATACTGAAACCATACGATAGAATATTTAAAAGTCATCCAGTATCCAAGAGGACGGCCCGGTCTGTTTTATATATCGCTTTATCCGCAATCCGCGTCCAGAGTCATACTCTGGGGCGCGATATTCTTCATGACGCCATACGCTACCTCAAAGATCTGGCAAGCCTTCTTGACGCTGAATGGCAGAAGTGAGAGCTACCCAGAGTATGGACGCCCTCTTCAGAGGAATGAATGCATATACCAAATATCCGACAGTAGTGCTCTGCTCTTATGAAACCGCGTGTTAAAGTCGAAAGACTCTACGGAATACAACCGCCCTCATTTTAACGCGGTTTGCTCAATAAAAGAATCATGCTGAGCTCCTGGTGGTGTTGCGCAAAAAAGTGTCTGGGGGTCAGACCGATTTCGAGCATTACTATACAGTATCAACAACACTGCCCCTAAAGGATGGTCCGGGGGGGAAATGTCACCAAAGAGGATAAAAAAAGATGATAAACACGCGACCCATTTGGTTTTGAGTTCCAACCCATACTCACTCCTCGACCCAGCCCAGCAACTCCCAACCGAACCCTCAAAGCATCCACTATCGCCACGCGTCTCAACGCCCCCGTCAACACCACAAGAGCTTCATGAAATCGTGCTCAAGATCCCTTCAGGAGTCGCCACTATCAAGGCCGTGACGAGGCTCTAAATTCGTTTTCAGGAAGTGGAAGACTCTACATGTACGTAATCAGATAAATATAGTTGTGGTCGCCTGCATATCGCTTTGGCGAGCGGTCAGGGTGAATAAAAGCCTCATCATCATCTACTGTACAGTATCTAACAAAATTAATCATTAATCCCGTCTATAAAAATCCGTCGCATCACACAATGTACGAAGTAAGAGTTTTTCTATCACAGTGCTTGGGTTCATAAGCTTTGCTTAATGAATTCCAGGCGGGGCACAGCTGACACTGAAGTGATGATGTTTCACCATCATTGCCAGACCTCAGGAGTCTGCTCAGAGTTGTGACGTCTTTCCGGAATTGAACTAGTAGGCTTCAATCTGGCGAATAATGTTGTTCCTCCTACGCTCATATTAAGACACCTGGATGATGATGCTCTTCGCGCATTGAACACGCAGCGGCTTACTCATCTAGAGGTGAAGTATGTTGCGAAAAGGGTGCTAGAAGCACTTTCAGTATTGTATAATAGGGGGTTTGTACATATTGGTATGCTCCACCTATTTAGGTTTTCTGCTTTGCGAACTTTATTAATGGGAAGGGTTGTAGATATCAAACTAAGTAATATATTAGTGAACTATAGTCATAGCAGTATCTATTTTACAGATGTCTAATTAGCAGATTTTGGAAGCACTATTCATGTGAACTCTCTTTATGCATAATATAGTGACCCTATTGGCACGCCTATTTTTAGAAGCCCTGAAGCTCACCTCTAAATGAGATGGGGTACTGCAATAGATATTTAGTCTTTTAGTGTAATGGCAAGTCTAAATCTCATATTAGAAGAGCTCAGATCTAAATCCTAACATCTAACTACCACACAGATCATCAGCCTTCTCTATGGAGGTGGATTCCACATCTTCAAGCTAGATGTTCCTGCGGATCATGATGAGTATGATATCATGATTCTTATGAAGCATCATAGATGCTTTGGGCTATTTCCAGAATTATATGAACAGATTGCAGACTAGCAGCAACTGGCAATCCTTGTCTGGATCATGCAAAACAGCCCTCCTGAGACACTACAACCATTTTATCTCACCAGTACCCAAAGGACCTGTCAGGATGATAAGGAATTTGTACTAAGAGCAATGAAGCTTGATCCTCGGGATAGACCGTCAGCACGGCAGCTCTTGGAAGGCCGAGAAGGCCAAGGCAAAAGCCTGACTGGACAAAGTTGCCCAGAATCATGGGATGCAAGTACGGCATCTCTCACATATAAAAACTTCTCGCGGTGTGTACCTCTAGATACCATACTGACTGGCTCATGACTGCCCACCTCTTCTTTGCTGTAGCCAGTCCATTTGCTATGGCTTAACTTCAAGAACTTCTAACTGCAATGCAATGAAATGAAAATACTCTCCCTTTTCCAGAAGTTGGCTCCATTAATGATGTTATGCATGCCCTTGATAGGTTAGATAGGCCTGGGTTAATTACTTGTATTTAATCTAGGCTTTATCTAGTGGACCTTATTAAGTTATATAGTAGGAAAAGGTTGGATTATCAGTAAGGCAGTAGTTGAGTATTTACGGATTCTAAGACTACATCAGATACTATAGCTAAGAGATTCCTGCTGTTAGAATAAGGTAGCTCAGAGTTTAAGCATTAATATGAGATCCTTTAACACAGATTATATGACAGCAGAAACTGGCACAGGATTACTTAAAAGTTTAGTAGTGCTATTATCTACTTAGTCCTATCTAGAGGGGAATTTAACATTTCTAACTCAGTGCATGTAATCGCCCTCCTCAGTATTAGTACTAAGCTGATGTTAACTAGAGTTTAAAGGATAGTAATGCACTACTTTGATAATTTCCTAGAAGTGCTTTATAAAAAGTGAGGTGACTTCTTACAAAATTATGTCTAATATCTAGATAGAAAGTTAAGAGATCTTTTATATTTACATCAGTGCAGTCTACTGCGACTCAAATAGTGGCCAGCCCTGAGGTCCCTCAATGCCTCAGCGTACCAAACCCATTTCTGCATCGACCCACCCCTTCGATTGTGGCATTCCATGGCCAATGTCTCTTTTGAAAGCTAACTGATCGTTTGTCTCCTCCTTTGAGTGATGGTTTGACAGCACACTATTCGTCCACAAGGCACTGCTCAAGGTACTAACCTAAGTGCTGTTCTTTTTAACCTACTTTAGTAATATAAGATTACAGATTATATGATTTTTATTACAACAGATAATGCATCCAATAATGTTACATTAATAGAAAGTACTTAGGTGCCTGAGTTGCCTCATTAAAGCCATTATGACCAGGGCTAATTGTATTATTAATCACATGATAGCCATTAGTAATTGGGATAAATGATTTAAATTAGTTAGATTCTATAAATTAACTAATACTAAGATGATATAGAAAGCCTTTTCTAACTTACCCTTAGAGGTAATAACTACTAATTACCTAAGAAACCTCTTATAACTATCTTTAATAGAGTTGCATTCGGTCTGAGTTCGCGCGAGTTCAAAACCAGTTGGCACTGAACTGCTGTAATTTCAAGTCCAAATTTTAGAAATCAGAACCAAACTTAGAATATAACTAGGTTTAATTTAGTTTAAGAATATTTTAAAATAGTTATATAATTATAATATTTTTGTATTATAATAATAATATTATTATTATTTAGAATTCAGCTAGTATTAGTAATAGATATATATAGATATAAAAGTCTCTAGGATTCTCAATAATAATAATTGATAGGATGTATATAATTAATTACTTATATATATTAGTATTAGAGAGTAATATAATAGAGGCCTATAATATAAAAATAAATAAACATAATTTAGGTATAATTAATTTACTATAGGTAATAAAGTAAAAGGGGTGATAACTATCATAGGCTGCCCCCATGACACGCGCTGCCTTGTGTATGCAGCTATGTGATTATATGACTAGCAACTAGCATCTAGTCTAGATACCACCTGATTAGTTATATAATAAGAACTAGTTATTATATTAATTAATATATTACCTGCCTGTACCTAGTTTCTTCCTTCCCTAGTAATTCCACTCCATACCTTCATAGCCTATTAGGACAGCTA